CATAACTTGCTGCAGGTCCCCTTTCCTCCTCAGTCATTGGCTGCTATGACTGCAGTGATCCTAGCAACCAGTGACTTCACTTTGTTCCCACCCAGCTTTAAGGGGGCATGGAAGAGTATAGTCTTCTGTCCTCCTCCTTTGCAGCCTGAATGCTGCCCCTCTCATCTCAGCACTGACTCCCTCACCCAGCTTATCAGGCTTTTAAGGTGACCGCAGCATTTTAAAGTTGCACTTTAGGGTCAAACGGTGTAAGGGGGCACTCTGATGGGCACAATTGTCCACATCCGTGCCCCCTTACATTAGTACAACCACATCACACTTTGCTTAGCCTATAGAACTTAATGAAATGTCACGTGTGACATCTCAATAAAGTTGTAACCAAAATGTGATGTGCCGAGATTGGCACATCAGTACTGTGCCTGGGGAAAAACGCAAATAAAGACTGACTATTCTGTGTAGACTAGGATTGGGAACCTCGGCTTGAAGAAATTTTTGTTCTCCTTGAATTTCATTTGAATTCCTGCTGGAACACTTAGTCATCATGTCTTCAAAACGGCTGTAACTCTTGTCAGCTCTGCTTCATTAAACTTTCCTGTTGAATACAGGATCACAAGGGATAGTGCAGTCTCCAGCAGCCGTCTATCTACTAGTTTGGAGCAGGGAGCAAGGGACACGCACACGCGCTTCTGGCCGGAACAGACTGCATCAGTTGTGAACAAGGCCTTAAGGTGCACCATACACCTTACAATTATCTGCAGATTTTCTGTGTCAGATGGAAAAGGTGGAACAGATTCCTCCATCTACACTTAACTGTATGGATGGAGTGATCTGCACCTGGGCCAAGCTTCAGTATCTTGTTACTCTGCCCCGCTGGCTCCCAAAATACCTGAACAGTCTGATTGAATGCAGGCATTGTTCAGGTGTTTTGAGAGTCAGCGGGGCCGACTAGCAAGATACTGAAGCTTGGCCCAGTGGGGGATTCCTCTATCCACGCAGTTTAGCGCGGATGGAGGAATCTGTTGCACTTTTTCCATCTGACCATAGAAAATCTGCAGATAATTGTAAGGTGTATGGCCAGCTTAAGACCTCACTAGCTGAATTTCAGCTGGTGGTTGTTTCACTGAAACAGAAGAAAACTGTTTTAATTTTAAAGTGGAAAGGACTGCCTCAATTAAAAACAGAGGATTACACCTTTATTTCACCTACCATGGTGTCCTCATAGATAAAAAATTTCACCAAGGTGAGAACAGAGTTCACTAGCGTTGGTTAATTAAAAAAATAAAGTTGGAAATAACTAAACAATTGGAGGGATTTATCAAAACTAGCACAGATAATCTGGAGCAGTTGCCCATAGTAACCAATCGGCTTCTCTCCAGTTTGTTCAGTTAAGCTTTCGAAATGAAAGAAGCCGGTTGTCATGCACAGCTGCTCTAGATTTTGTCTGCTTCAGTTTTAATACATTTCTCTCAATGTAATTATCCGATCACTAGGTGGCTAACTTTCCTCAGTGAGTCTGACTGCACTGTAAACACAGTAAGCCAGTAACCCAACAGTGGCGAGCACTGTTATTTGGGTAACATTTGATTGTGCTTACTACTTTTGGGGCTTTTAGGAGTGCTCTGTTCCCCTGAGAACATTGTAGATTACCTGGTAGTTCTTGTTTATCCACCCTTTTAAAGTGTATTTCCACTTTTAGTCAAATTGCAGAAAAACTCAGTGTTCTCATTTACACAGCGTACCTAAAATAAAACAATTTCTTTAGATGAAGTTCTTTGAGCAATTTGAAAGTAGAAAAAACTGAGGGACAGGGTGAGCTTCCTTTTTATTAACCTAAATACTAACATTTAGGAAAGTAGATTCTTCCAAAACCGGCTATTAGAAGAAAGGAAAAAATGGAGATAACAAAAATCCTGGATAAGTGTAGGCTTATCAAAGTACGGACAGAAGTCTGTTAATACGTTGGGTGAAATACTGTACCTGCATTGGTTGGGTTGCGTGATCTCCCTTGGAAGGGGTCTCGGGCAACCATAATGAAAAAGGCTTGTGGGGAATGTCTATCCCTGAGCAGGTTTTAAGTTGTCCTCGATGTAGGGAATATCTTCGGGTGATTTGGAGGCTGGACTGCTCTTGTCCCGGATGTTGTATGAAGTTGTTGAAGAAGTTTGAGCAAAAATTAGTATTTCCTCCAGAGAGGTAAGCAAAGGTGCCTGGAGTCAAATAAAGAGTTCTGGATATTTTCTTGTAAATCACTTAGACTTGCAATTGATTTTTCTCATTACTTCTTGGGAACCCCCTTCTCATCCATCTGGTCCGGGCTGGACTTCAGTTTCTGTGTCAAGTATCCATTTCTCCTGTAGGTGGCAGTATAACCCTTGGTTGTTACCTTAAGCAGTGTCCCTTAATGCAGTGGTTCTCAACCTGTGTAACCTCAAGACCCATATTTGTCCTCGGTCATTAAGTCGCGACCCAAATCGCACTGCAATTGAATGCATGGCAGTGTGGGCTGCTGTGATGGAGCCCCATCCATATGTGCATTGCTTGTACAGCTCCCATGCGCACCTGTAGAGGTGTCAGGAGCCAGAATGTGATGTCACTCCAGTCCAGGCACCTCTACAGGACATGCGAGGGAGCTGTAAGCAATGCATGTATGGATAAAGCTCCCTGGCGGCCATACCCCCATCCCACAACACCAAGTCGACACTCTGCGCTGGGCAGCATATTTTGAATGGCTACTCGGTGTGAGAATGGTCAGTACTGCTCTAGGGGGAGGCTGAGGAGCCTCTCGCCTAGAAAAGTGGAAGGCATGTGGAGACCCACTGAACGCAGGGCCGCGACCCACTTTTGGGTCACGACCCACCAGTTGAGCACCAAGGCCTTGATGGATTCGGAGAAAAGGATTTTATGGTAAACACAAATTATTATTTAATTTTTTTGAATAAACTTTTTTTTATTTTCATACAAGCAGTACAGGATTTACAAAATATTGAATCATATACCAAATGGACATTAAAAGTAAAATATACAGTGAAGGAAACAGGTTAGTGCTCAAAACATTTTCACATGTTAGCTTCTATTGTTAGGGGGCTAGAGTACCACAACCTCGGATCATCCGGACAGAGGTTTAAGAGCATTCGTAGTCCCTCCAGGACTCCATTCTACTACTGGTACATTCCTCAAGGTGGGCAGTAAACCTTCAATAACAGAAAATTGCCTGTCCAGCTCATTTTTCACCCAGTTTGCTGCTCATATATTAGTGACTAAACTGTATGTATCGATAGAAGGTGCGCATGGAGTTTAGTCATGGGCATATTTATCAGTAGGATGATACGTATCCATGCGCATGTCTAAACCATTATTTTGAGAATTAAACAATTTAAGAAATTAACAAGTACCTCACTCCACTTCCAGGGTGTGTAACAATCTAAATTAACCTTGCTCCTGCACACAAATTATTTTTAATGTACGGTAAACAAAATTCAGTACTAGATGTAGTGGAAAAAACAGGCATTACACCTCCTCCCACTGCTGTTCCTATTCCTCACCCCACCCAATAATTATTTCCGGTCTCTACTCTTAGCATATTTATATGTAGCTTTTACACTCCTTATCATAGTGATATGGCTTTTGGCATGAAGAATAGAGATTCGGGAGATTGGGTTTCTGTAGGACTATTTCTCCCCTGGCATTTTCAATGCAAGTCCAAAAAATTTACCTGATTGTGGTGTTCCTCAAATGTAAAACCATTATCACTTGTGGGGTTTTTGTTTTATTTTTTTTAGGGGTGCGGAAATTAACGATTAATCCGTCGATTAATCGTTAATTTCTTTGATCAATCAAAATTATTTTGATCGATCATTACAGCACCCTGCTCAAGCTATAGAACATGGAATAGACTATGGCTGAAACTGACTATATTCTATTCCATGTTCTATAATGTCATTGTACTACCAGGAAATTACAAGTCGGCAATTCAGCTGCTACTTGTAGTTCCCTGTATGATGGAAGGCTGTTTTAATTACTGTCATTAACCCTTTCGCTGCCAACCCCTCCAGAACATTTTTCAAATCAGCTGGCCAAGCCATTTTTGAATTTTCTGCAATTTTTTCCTATTGATTTGATTTTCAACTGCTGCGTTGCTAGCGTTTGTGAAAGACCCCCCAAACCATATATTTTCTGAAAGCGCATGCCCGGTAGAATAAAAAGATGGTGATACTAAATTTGTAGGCCCTGCGATAATTGCGCAAATGTTTCTCAAATTAATATTAAACCGATAAAAATACACAATTCAATTGATAAAACACACTAAAATCAGTATCAGCGCACAAAAAATAATAATTTTCTGAAGGATCAGGATGTCCAGAATGTATGTGGAATGGCGGCTGATATAGTGCCTGAGGCTGCCGCCATTCAACATACATTCTGGACATCCTGATCCTCCTCACAGGCCGGTTCACATCTGGTTCCCAGACCCACGTAAGTACATTATACATATATATTGTTCCGGTCACCTTCCCTGATATGTTCGGTCCAGGCAGTCAGCTGACCTAGTTTTGCGCCCTCTTGTTGTTCCAACAAGGCTAGTTAGACCCCGCAGAGCCCTGCTACCCTGGTGAGGCCCCCTCAAAGCTCTGGTGAGACCCCCCTCTGTATGCGTTATTAATCGAAATTAGTCGATTAATCGATTTAAAAAAAAATTGATTAATCGAACAGGAAAATTTTAATCATTACCAGCCCTAATCTTTTTGTTAATTTAGATGTCTTAACATCTACAGGTCAGGTCACCCCCACACCAATATGTATATAATAAACTCCCAGTTTTCCAGCACCCATGGGAATTGGTAGAGCCTGCATAACTAGTTTCTGGTTGCTTGAGAGTTGCTATTTGATCAAATTGATGGTATTTGTTGTTTTTTATTTTGTATTTGTATGTATTTATCTACTTCCCATATCATTATGCAGTATTTGTTTTTTCTCTATTAAACTTAAATTTTTCCTTTCAGAACATGGTGATGAGTTTCCGGGTATCTGATCTTCAGATGCTTCTGGGATATGTCGGACGCAGCAAAAGTGGCTTGAAGCATGAGCTTGTCACGCGAGCTTTGCAATTGGTGCAATTTGATTGTAGCCCTGAAGTCTTTAAAAAGATAAAAGAGCTCTATGAGACAAGATATTCAAAGAAGCCCAATGATTTAGTTCCCACAGCTGCAACTCAACTGCCACCATCACATCGATCACAAGACTCTTTGCTCATTCATCCTACTTTTGACCATGGGACAACTGCTTCTAGGACTGCTTCTTCCCTTTCGCAACACAATATGGACTACCAATCTGTATATGCAAAACATGTCAATGGCATATCTCGGATACCTCCCAAATCGATGAGCAAGCCTGAGGTGCGACTTGTCAAGCTACCTTTCTACGATGTGGTTGATGAGCTTTTAAAGCCAACAGAACTTGGTAAGATGCAATTTAAAAAAAAGTTGTTTTCAAATGAGTCAATACCATTCCCTCTGTGGCCTTTGTCAAGCTACAGCTCTTTTATGATTTTGTTATTAGAACTCGGCCACGAGGCAGGGCTTTTGTGGAGAAAATGCTGCAGATACCTCGTGGCAGAGACTGGAGACACAGGAGTTTGAAAAAGCCAGTGGTGCCAGTGGGGTTTTTAATCGGCATATGCAGAAATCTCGTCCGAAAATGGCACTCATGTCAAAATGCCGAAAGTACCATCTTTCGGCCGAAATTGCGGTGCATGCATGGTTTGTCTACTCCCCGCTGGGCGCTGCTGTGTCCCCTCTGACACAGCGCAGCGTCCAGCAGGGAGGAGAGAAACTGTCACCACCAATATGTTATCACATGGGGGGGGTGGCTTGTAAGCCCCCCCCTTTTGTGATGGCAATTAAAAGTTAATAAAGTAAAGTCCCCTGCGAGCACGCACGTCACGTAAGCATGCGTCGGGTGCGTCTGCATACTAAAACAACTATTGCGCTACATGTTGGGTATCGCCGCACACGCAAGAGTGAGAGCAATAGTTTTAGGGCCAATATTTACGCGTATCTCTAAACTGATGACCTGTAGGGGCTGTTAAAGCTTTGTGTATGGACTTTTTGGGGTACTGAGTTCTGTTGCAGTTTCGCGGGCGCATACCTGGGCATGTTGGGTCTTCCAACCTCATCTTAATTTTTTCAAAAAAATGGTTGCGGAGGACGGGTTTGATGGTGGAATGGGGTACAGAGGACGGGTATGATGGTGCAGGGATGGAGAGGACGGGCATGGTGGTGGAATGGGGTGCAGAGGGCAGGTATGATGGTGGGATGGGGTGCAGAGGACAGATTTAGCGGATCAAAGAACCTGGATTGTGCATCCGATAAGAGGGTGGGTGATCATTTCCCTCTGCAAAGCCCGCTAAATCCAAAGCAAGCAGGACAGCGGAATGGGGGGAGGAACCCTGTTCAATAGGCATCCATCGCTTGTCAACCAGTTACGCCATTCAAATGCCTGCGCCATGTGCACTACAAGATAGTATCGTTGGGGGTCGGGAAAACCTATGCCGCCCATCGATTTTGGCAGGGCCCTGTTCAAATGGTGTGCGCTATTGGACCATAGGAAAGATGCAAATTCACTTTTCGCCTGCCTCAGGAAGTGCAATGGGACATGGACCGGTAAGGTTTGGAGGTGATGCAATAGTCGTGGGAGAACTTTAATTTTGAGGACATTGGGCCTTCCAAATGGATTTGGCACGTGTCTTCTTCGCATGAGATGCCAGGGATATGAAAACTCAGATGTAACATTTTATGTGCTTCCCACACCGTCAGGGGGGCGCAAGCCAGGAAGGTATTCTGATGGAAGAACAGTGACCGTTCCTGCTCAACGCGGTCTTTGACAGTTGGATCGTCCAGAAGGGTATCATTAAGAGTCCATTGCCAGGGTCTGGGCTTCTCACCATGGATCACCATCTCAATCAGGACTGGAGCGTGGTCTGAGACCGAGATGAGATCAATGGCCGAAGTGCGCACCCTGTGCAGGTCACCTTGCTTGACCAAAAAGTAGTCCGTGCGGGATTGACTTGTGAACAGATGAGTCAAACAAATAATCGCGGTTGGGTGCATAAGACACGTCCACTAATTGGTCCACATGGAGGGTTTTCCGGAAGCTTTTCAGAAAGGGATATGAAAGATGTGAGATTCCCCTGGAAATATCCAATCGATCAAGCGCCATGTTGAAGTCTCCTATCACCACTATACCCTCCGCAAAGTCGGCCAAAGAAAGTAGACGTTCCGCCAAGAAAGGAATTTGGTCAGAGTTAGGGGCATAAATGTTCACAAGCGTCACCAATGTGCCAAAGACATGGCCCTTTAGAAATATGTAACGGCCGTTCCCATCCACACTTGTGGAAAGATGCTGCCATCTAATGTGCCTAGACACTAGGATACTCACCCCACGAGATTTGGCTTCCGGAGAAGCACTATGGTATACGTGGGGGAATCTGGCATCCGACAATTTTGGGATGTTGTCCAGACGGAAGTGGGTCCCGTGAAGGAATGCCACCTGAGCTCGGTGCCGCCATAGATCCCCCAACACTCTCTCTCTCCCTTTTTTTTTTTTTTTTTTTTTTTTTTTTTTTTTTTTTTAAAACCTCACCCCACTGCCCAGCCATGGGAAACAAGCACCAACAGACACACCAGGACAAAGAAAGGAGAGGGTGAGAAGAGTAAAAGGGTGTGGGGGGAAGCGAGGGCTTGCAGTAGAAAGGGGAAGAAAAATTAAACGGCAGACAACAGATACAGACTAATACAGGGAACAGGAAACGTGTGGATAAACTAAAACAAAGCTACCTTCCGCCTTACAGACAAAGAAGGGGCTTATGTGGTGGAAACGGCAAACAAAGAAGCATGCAGAGATGCTGAGAGGGATATTTGGCTTCCCAGCCCAGTCCACCAGACTAGTGACGCGCGATCACGCATCACCGGCCGCAGAGGCAGACTGTTGTGGTCGGGGAGGTCCACCCGCTACAGGAAAAAACCCTTAATTAACAATGGGGGGGGGGGACACTTTCGGAAGCCCCAGGTCTTGGCTCCCCCAACTGCTAAACACCAAGGGGATGCCACAAAACTCCAGAGCTGCCCTAAACACAGCAGCTACCCGCCCTGCTGGGGGAGCGGTGGATTGTGTCCCAACAGTATCACCCAGGGGGGACTCAGGTGGAGGCCCAAGACAAACGCCCTGAAGTTTTAAGGCCCTCACCCCTCCAGAGCTGAGCCCACCCCCCATGAGGGTCCCCAGCAGGCACAGCCCAAGGGGTCCATCCAAATGGTAGAGGGGTGCCCCAGCCCTCTCGCAGGCCCAGCTCCATCAAAGCGGCAGGCCATGCGGGCAAGGCAGCCGCCACCCCACCAACACTGAGGAACACCCAATGTAATCGCACATGACCCAAGAACCGTGCCCCCGAAGACCCTGATTATTAGAAGGGCAAACTTCACGCAAAGTCAGGTTGTGTCGGGCAGGGCTAACCGGAACAGACCATTCGACTATTAAATCAGAACGCATATTGGCATACCTGGGCACGGACTTCCCAGCAGGGCCAGACCCCCTAAAATAGAAACCAGGAACCCCGCCCAGGAGCTTGACAGTGATCGCCTGCAGCGTTCCCATAATCCTAACCACCTGTAGGAAGGGGGGGGGGGGGGGGGGGGGCGGCGGCAACGGGGGCCCCATCCGGTACCACCTGAGCAAAGGCTCAGCAGACACAATACTAAATAATAAAATAAGGCAGTGTGGGAGAGCATCACGTAATCGCTTCCGGGCCCGGGAAGAGGCCGCAAACGTCCGCGGCGCCTGCCAAGGAGAGACTACCAGGAGACGGATCGAGTTCCGGAGTAGTGCCCCGGATAGTTAAGGGCTGTAAGCGGCGTTGGCTGGAACAAACCCGGTCATGGTCTGGATCAGTCATCACTCAACGGGAATATGCCCCCAAAATCTCGGGGCAACGCTAGGGGTCAGGGTAAGGCACATCTAACCATGCCAGAGGGGAAAGCGGCAGGAAAAAATAAGGGTATTTTCGTCGAAGGTCGGATCTGTCAATCTTCCAGTGCCTGCAGTCCAGGCTGCTGGTAGAAGCCAATAACCTGAGGGGGAGATTACAAGAGTTTTCACTCCGATAAAATCTTAACAAAAGCTTATCAAAGGGCGAAAAAAGATCATATATTGGGAAAATTGAAGCCTGATAAAAAGAAAGAAAAAAATGAAAATTGTGACTTCGCAGATATTCATCACTAAAGGATAAATTAGTGAAAAGTGAATTTAATACAAACAAAAAATCGGGATGTTGCAGATACCCTGGAACTTACCAATGCCAGAAATGTATATTTTGTCGCTTTATTCATGTGGGATCACAGATTGTCACCTCGAGGGGCCAAACTATTCGGAGTAAACATTTCGCAAATTGTGAGACGTAAGGAGTCGTATATTTGTTATCCTGTCAGTGCGATGTGTTTTATGTTAAAACTGAGAGGATGTTGAAGAGGATCACGGGCCGCTATATCGGAGATCCCCTGTTGCGGGATACATTTCATAATAGTACTCAGGATCTTCATTTTTTTTTTGTCCTGGACCGTGTACATAGATCAAATCGTGGGGGAGATTGGGACAAGCTTTTGCTACAATGTGAATGTCGATGGATGCATCTCACTAAATCCTATGAAGAACCGTGTATAAATGACATGATTAACTTTAGTAGTTTTTTTATGAGTTGAGTCCCGTTTCAAAATGTTCCTATATCTATGACTTCCACATATGTGCCATTGAAGTATGGGATAAATGTGTTAGTATATATTTAACATTATTAAAATGAAATGTAGATTTTATCTTTATATATGCATATAGCTTTTGTGGTAAATAATGATCCTATGTAAATGGCTTTTATGGTCCTCTGTCCTACTCAATATGAATACGTTGATTGTACTAATTACTTCTATTGAAATCAATGAGTACTGTGGAACGCAAAATGGACGTTATCTAATTTTTTGGAAACTAATTGGAATGCAAGGCAATTACGAATGGGATTGATATTTCCTGTCCTGTCCTGGATATAAACTATCCAGCTGGAAGTACAAGCAAGCTACGCCCTTATGACGAAGCGCCTGTGGGGGAGAAACGCGTAAAGGAATAGCGTGGTGATTGCCTCTAATCTCAGTCTGTGGATCCCCTTCAGACCCGAATCCCATTGTTTGGGATGTCATTATTCATCATATTGGATACACCCAGAGCCGTTTTTATCATTTCATTTACCCTCACACCGAAAGGATATGTTTCGGATTTTGTCTCTTTGGTTTTCATAATTGTGAGTTGGCTCGTATGTGTGTTGCACATGGAATTTCACCTTACTACAAATTATCCCTGTGATTGATCCTGCTTTTGAGTTTGCAGTGATACGCTCTCTTTACACACCATGCTATTGGATCTCCTTCTGGATTCAGATGTTTGAAGGTTCTATATTAACACTCCTTATATATGGTTTACCGAGGTTCTAGATTGTGCAATATATATTTACAGATTTTAATATAATGTGTTTTTTGTTATATTTTTTACATGACAACATAGTTGCAGCATGAATTGTGTGGTGAGATCTCCTTTAAAGGGGACATGTGGATTTTCTGCAATAACGTATTTAATTGTGTTTATATGTTTTCAAATACGCTATTAAGTTTAACATAATTAAAGGTGTTTTGCTTCTTTTCATTTGTATTCAATATCCGGTGCATCACGTTGCAGTGTCCCAACAGTAGTCGGCAAAGATTGACGAATTCCAGTTGCCTCGATCATTTTTCTATTGTAGCAATGTCCTGGTGAAACCTTACAGATCACAGATATTCCAGTTGTACTTGCTGTACTAGATGAGCTTCAGCAACATTTCCATGTTTTCCTAGGTTTCTTTCATGTGTGCTGCATACCCAACAGGTATTGAAGGGTGAACGTTGCCATTGTGTAACCGAACAGCTTTGAGGCTTAACATTGACGAATCAATGGAGATGGCACTCTTGTGGGTCATGGTCACAACCGAAGGCAGAGAACAATTCTTCGATGTCAACACAGAAACGGAGACTCAACTTGTGCAAAGCATTTGGTTATATCATCTTGGCGGCTTTGAAAAACAAATTTTTGTACCTGGTGACAGGAAACGCCATTCCTGCAGTCTCAAACCCAGCAATTTGGCTTTTGCTTTTGACAGACCCAAATCTCTGACCAGATTGTTTAATTCTGACTGTTATATGTTTAATTTGTTAAACAGTGTGCACTTCTCTTTCACAATAGAGGATGGTTAGTAATGTAGTATTTTTTTTCTTTACATTAAAAATTTGTTTGATTTCCGTATGATTCTTCTGAAATGTTGACTTTTTCATACATTTTTTTTCCTACAGTTGCTCAGAACAGTGAAAAACTTCAAGACAGCCCATGCGTATTTGTCCTTTCGCCAAGACAAGTCGACTTGATAAAGAATTCAAGGTACTGGTACTAGCTATATTAACATGTATTGATACTGAGTTACAAGATCTTCAGTACCTCAGTGCTTGAGAAACATGGCCAGTTTATCATGATAAAACAATTTAGCTCATCATATTTTACATTTTCTTTATCGTCCTTTTGAGAGACACAAATGGTAGATCATCTTAGACCATGGGTTATACTGCCACTTTCAGGAGCTTTGGGACACAGACAAACGTTGTCAGATTCCTGTATAACTGCCTCCAAGTCAGTTTTTTTTATTAGTGTCCTAGGAAGCTGGAAATTATGTTCTCCTTTGCTGAGAAACTCTGATTTCTACTTTTACTATTTTCCTCTCAACATAAGCTATCCTCAGTAGATGTGGTTTTATTTTTTTTTTTTTTTTTAATTTAGACAACTAATATGCAGCTAAACTTAGTCTCTCTCTTGCAGCTATCGGTGTATCTAAAGCAGTAGCTTTGGAGGCTGGTCCCTGGCCCTGCTGAACCAAAAATTGTGGGGCTAGCCTGGAATGCAACCTTCAGGCACTAGGCCTGTGGGGCTTGAACTTGGAGTATTGTTTTAGCCACAGCACTCCTCCCAGGTCCAGAGCACAACCTCTAGTGTGACCTAGTCTCTGAAGTTTGAGTATGCCCATGGATGGGGCAATGATGGCCTTAAATGTAACGTTTAGGTACTAGGCTCTGCATTTTGGCATATTCCAGATCCATCTGTACGTTAGCGACCGAGCACTGTCCAGTTTCATAGTGCTACCAGCCTCTGGTGTAACTCAGTCTTTGAGTTACCCCAAAGGCTGTCCGTTCTTCTGGAGGGCGGCTAATTTTGTTCACCATGTGTGTAAAGCAGCCACCGCTCCAAGCTCGTTTCTTTGATGGACTACAATCTCAATACAAAATAGTAAATTAAATGTGAGATTATAGACCATCACAGGAGGGAGCTATGACCGGTGCCTACTTTACAACACACAGGGACCATGTGGAACAAAAGTAGCCACCCTTCAGAAGGAAGGGCATTTTCGCAAAAATTCCGAGATTATTTGATCTACAGCCGAGTGTTAAACAAATAAGGCACAGTATAGTTAATACTTAAGGTACTTTTAATGCGTTTTAAGATTCAACTCCTGAGTTTAGTGTCACTTTAACCTTAACAGGCCTGTTATCAAACTGGTTGATGGGTCCTATAAGTTGAAACAGTTGAGTTCCTTATTTAAGTCTCACTTTGATTACCTCTAGCTCTCTTCTGCTTTTGTAAACTCCCTGTTCAGTACAAGATCACAAGAGGAGACAGAGCAGTGTCCAGCAGCTGTCTATCTACAAGCTTGCAGAAGGAAGGAATGTGGAACTGGGAGCAGTGTATTGGCTTGCCTTGCTGTGCCTGTGTGTTTTGTGAAGATGGATACAGCTCACACACTCACACACACTCCTGCAAGAGAAAAGAGCCACCCTAGAACAGGATATCGGGGCCAGTGCTCACGGAACCAGCTGATTCTGCAGCGAACTAAAACTTTTAGTTTAAGAAGCAGCATCCATTGTATGTGGTTTTTAATCAGGATTTAAAATGGCTTAAAACCGTACTGTTCTCTGTCCTCTCATGGCAATGGTTTTCATTTGTGAAACTGTCTCCCATGAAAAGGAAGATCCCATTTTCGGTTCTGGTACCTATGTGAGAGGCAGCTGGGACACTGCGCTCCCACTCTGTAGGCATTCCTGCATATAGATTCGGTACATTATCCCCACCTTGGGCCACATATAAGCAGCAGCTTGGTGGACCGCCGTAGAATTCTTTCTGGTAAAAACCAGGACCCTTTCTCATTCCTTGCTACATGTGACTAGAATTGTGCAGCCCATTCCCGACCCCCTCATGGGAGAATATGATGAATGAAGGCGCCCATGGAAAGATTGCTGCAGCAGTAGCTACACTACTTAACCATTGCCGTCCGGCCATCGTAAAATTACGGGCAGACGGCGGATCCTTTCCATCCGGGAAGGATAACGGCCGTTACCGGCTGTCTGATACAAGCGTTTAGCCGGCTGATCGCTTGTATGATGTCGTATGGTGCGGCCCTGCCTCCTTCACCGCTGCCGGTTATCCCGGCCACCGCTGTCCACCCTGCAGTGCCTGGAACCGAGACAACCGGCACAGCGGTTGCTCGAAGAGAGGAGGAGCGATCAGCATTTCCCACCGCTTATCTCTCTAAAGCCGGAAGCGATGTGTATTACATCACTTCCGCCTTTAGCTGTCATTTCTAAAGGCGGAAGAGAGCGTTTTGCAAGACAAGCGCTTTGGATTACAAGCTTTCTTCCGGAACGAATTATGCTCGTAAACCAAGGTATTACTGTATATAGTAAAGAAAGCTCTATCTGTCCCTAAAAAATGGTATAAAATTAATTTCAGTACAGCGTTGCATAACTGAATGTCAACATATGTCAAAGTACTGCAGCGCTGACTACTGAAAAATGGCCTGGGCAGGAAGGGGGTTTAAAACCCCGGTCAGCAAGTGGTTAAACCCTATATCACAGAGGTAGTCTGCAATTCAACAAGGCCTCCTACTAGTCTAAGTATCTTTCTACACTGGCTTGTTCTTAGTCCCCATTCACACCTAGGTGTACTATGAGCTTGCATCACTTTTTGTTCCTGTGTTTGCTACGTGTCCCCATTGGTTTCAGTGAGTTCCCGCACATGCAACAAACGCGGAAATGTAGTCCATGTACCCAAATCTGCCACATGCGTTTCAGGGTTTTTTTAACGTACGCAGACATTGGGGGGAAAATGTTTTCCTCAGCCACATTTGGGGTGCCAAGAACTCACATTTCACGATTTTGATCCGTTTTGTGAATATTTGTCAAAGCGTGCATTTTTGTACACATTATTAGCACGTTTACTAAACATTTATGATGTGACAAACAGCGCATTTCCTGTTTGGGAGATCAGTTAATCAAGTCTGTCTAAATTGTCTGTGCTAGACCGCATGTCTCAGTCCCTGCAAGCCAAGCTGGACTACCTAACCTACTACTGAACCTACGGAAAATATTGGCCTCCCGGAAACTTGTAAACCCCAGATGCTGGCAGAACTATATATTCTACTATCCCAGAGATGTTATTGTGCTCTCTCCACCACATAAGGGGAGGCAAGGCCCGTCTGGGACCTCCTCAAAGTGACAACCTCGAGCCAATCGATTGCTGGAAATTGTGTGCCAAAAAAAATCCTCGGCAGCAAAAGGTTTAAAGGGACTCCCCACGTCACTTATACAATTTTGTGGCAATTTTCTATTTTCTTTCCTCCAATAACAATTTTTGGATTTTTTTAAAAAATCTGCTTTGGGGGTATGTCTGGAACATGAGGCGGGTAAAGCTTTCAACAGAGGTAGGATTGTTTCCTATGCATCAGCCTATAGAAAACAAACTTTAAAGTGGACCTTTCCACTCAAAATCAAATTCTACCAATGCATCCCTCTATGTATAATTAATAATAACATAGACATGTTGGGTGTAAAATACTGTGATTTTTAAAATACACTTGCAGAGCATTCACTTGTTTTGAAAGTGCAAATTACTTCAGTTTGCCAACACAATGCACACTGGGAGTGCCTTGTCATAAACAGAGCATTGCTGGAAAATCTCATCTGGAGATCTCGGGGAAAGGCATTTTTCTCCCCTGAGATATACATGGTCGCATGTCCCAAAAATCAAGTAAGGCAAAGAATACAAAGCTGGCAATTATCTAGAAGTATGTGTTTGTAGATTGTCATTGCTAAACATTTCTAAAGGTGTGTTTTTTATTTTTTTTATTTTACAGTTATGGGTAAAGGTCAGCTTTAATGTCTTGTCTTGAGGCTAGCGATTTTTTTCATTTAATAACTGCACAATCACAACTTAGTAGTGACCCATTACTGTTGTATTGCCGAGATTGGGAACATATAAAGTAACAGTTTGATCTCTGGGCGGATTGATGCAAACAAATCATCTTGCTGTGACTTATGTTATTATAACTATGGCATCACAATGGGGAAATTGGCAAGACTAGTCAGCGAGGTATTGTCCCACCCATTTTATGCGGCTTAAGGTGACATTAAACACAAATTCATTAAAGTACCCTAACTATTAACAAAGATGCAGCTTATTTGTGTATCACTCGGCTGTAGATCCTTAAATCATCTCTGTATTCATGCTGACACTGTTACTCCTTCTGGGGGCTACTTTTGCTCCCCATTGGCCCAGTGTGTGTTTTGTAACATAGCCACCGCTCAAAGCTCGCTCCCATGTTGGACAATAATCTCAATACAAATTGGTAAACCAAATGTGTGATTAGAGTCAATCAATGGAGTAAGCTTGGAGTGGTAGCTGCTTTACCACACACCTACCATGGGGAACAAAAGCAGCCACCTCCAGAAGGAAGGTCAGTGTCAGTACAAATTCAGAAATTTGAGGATCTACAACTGAGTGATACACAGATAAGCTACATTTTTGTTAATAGTTAAGCTACATTTTTGTTAATAGTTAAGGTTTAGTATCACTTGAACTCGTCTGACAACCTTATCTCTGATTCGACTGAAATAAATGGGTCTTACAGCAATTCTAAAGGTCTTTTGTATAGTGCAAATATCATTGGTAGACATATGGCCATTTCTAGTGGCTATTTGCCCTCTAGGGCCTCTAATCTGTACAGTTAGCACATACAAATATTACGAACAGCGCTCTCGGATTGGGCCAAGGGAATAGGGTGCTGTAGCTCTGCCTCGGCTGCAGCCCTAAGAGACAGGAGGAGTGCCTGCACTAGTGAAACACAAAAAACGAACGTGAGGGCGCAAGGCTAGGGGGACTAAGAAACTGATAGTAGCACAGTGGAGAAAGTAAGAGGAAATGGTTCACTTACTTTAAGTGGGTCTCGGGACCAGATGGATGTGTCAGTGTGTCCGTGTCACCGCTGGAGCAATGTGAAGTGCCGGTGGTATGAGGACTGACGTCAGGCTGGGCTGCAGCTGCGGGTGGAGGAGATCGGG